CAGGAGGGGTGGGAATGAGAGCTAAGAAAGCACATGCAAGGTTGAGGTAGGTGAGGTGCTGCCCGTCCTGGCAGAAGGTGGGGATGGGACCTGAGGGGTGGGGGAGGAACACAGAGAGAAGAGACAGGAGGGGTGGGAATGAGAGCTAAGAAAGCACATGCAAGGTTGAGGTAGGTGAGGTGCTGCCCGTCCTGGCAGAAGGTGGGGATGGGACCTGAGGGGTGGGGGAGGAACACAGAGAGAAGAGACAGGAGGGGTGGGAATGAGAGCTAAGAAAGCACATGCAAGGTTGAGGTAGGTGAGGTGCTGCCCGTCCTGGCAGAAGGTGGGGATGGGACCTGAGGGGTGGGGGAGGAACACAGAGAGAAGAGACAGGAGGGGTGGGAATGAGAGCTAAGAAAGCACATGCAAGGTTGAGGTAGGTGAGGTGCTGCCCGTCCTGGCAGAAGGTGGGGATGGGACCTGAGGGGTGGGGGAGGAACACAGAGAGAAGAGACAGGAGGGGTGGGAATGAGAGCTAAGAAAGCACATGCAAGGTTGAGGTAGGTGAGGTGCTGCCCGTCCTGGCAGAAGGTGGGGATGGGACCTGAGGGGTGGGGGAGGAACACAGAGAGAAGAGACAGGAGGGGTGGGAATGAGAGCTAAGAAAGCACATGCAAGGTTGAGGTAGGTGAGGTGCTGCCCGTCCTGGCAGAAGGCGGGGATGGGACCTGAGGGGTGGGGGAGGGGAGATAGGAGGAAACACAAGGGTGGAAAAGGGAAGGAACGGATATTGGAGAGGGCGTTGGAGGCGAGATTGAGGAAGATAAGGGATGGGAGGGGGGTGTTGCTCACCCTGGCAGAAGGATGGGATGGGGCGTGTGGGATGGAGGGGGGGGGGGGTGGGGGGGGGGGGCGCATGGAGAGGAGAGACAGGAAAGGAAAAAGAGTCACGAGAGAAGGTGAAATTGGATTGGGGAAGATGAGGATGGGCCTGCCAGAGGGCCTGCTCGGCCTGGCAGAAAGAAGGTGGGGAAGGGTCCTGTTGGGGGAATGAAGGGGCGAGGGATGAGTACCAGAGATGGGAGACAGGGGGGAGTGGGAAAGAGCTCGATGAGAAATGCGAAAGAGGAATGTGGTTGAGTCACGAGAAAACAAAATTGGGGTTGAGGAAGGAGAGGGTCTGCTGGGCGTGGCAGAAGAGGGGGATGGGGCGTGCGGGGAACGCGGTGCAGAGCAGGGAGAGGAGAGGCTGGAAAGTAGGGGGAAGAGGCGTGAGAAAGCACATACAGGGTTGAGGACGGTGAGGGTCTGATGGGCCTGGCAGAAGGTGGGGATGGGACATGAGCGGAAGGTGAGAAACGGTAGAGAAGAAGCGGTGGAGTGGTAATAAAAGTGGTGCAAACAGATTTAGGTCGTGGGATGGGAGAGGGAAGGTAGGAGCGAGCAAGGATGGGGCAAAAATGTGGAAAAGAAGAGTAGACAACAGTGAGCTTACCTGTCAAAGCGTTTCCCCCGAGGTCCAAATATTCCACGTCGGGTAAAGTGGTGAGGCCTTGGGGAATTCTCCCTGTAAATTTGTTGAATCCGAGGTCCACATATACGATGTCTGTGGGCAGGATCGAAAACGGCTGCAAGCTGCCCGAGAAATTGTTGTGGCTTAAGAAGAGGCCAAACTGCACAGGATTCGCGGACTTGAAGCAGTTGGCTGGAACTGTTCCGGTCAGGCGATTGCGCGAAAAATCCGCGATGTCAAGGCTGCTCGAACGGCACAATATCTGCGGAAAGGAGCCCGAAAATAAGTTATTCGAAACGTCAATGGAGTCCGGAACATCGTTAAACCGGATCGTGTTGAAATTTCCGGTCAGCCTGTTCCGGCTTAAGCCAATGTTAGTAGCATTTATTTGCAGCCCGCTCAGATCGCCGGAAAGCCTGTTCCCGTCTAAAACAAGGTTGAACAATCCTCTTTTTAGCAGCGCAGGCGGAATATTCCCAGATAGCCGATTCAAGTTTAACTGTAAACCCATAAGGCTCTGCAGTGTCGCAAGGGCAGCGGGGATCGGCCCGGACAGCCAATTACTCCCCAGGTCCAGATCAATTAGCGAAGTCATTGCGGCGTACGAAGCAGCGCGTTGTGGTAACCCTCCCCAGAAGAAATTTCGCGCCGCGGACAGGAAGCTAAGTTGCGGCAGGCGAAAGAAGGCGACGGGAAGAGGACCAGTGAAACAGTTATCCTGGAGATTGAGCTCCTTGAGATTTGTAAGCCGGGAAAGGGATCGCGGGACCGCGCCGGAAAGCCAGAGGTTATTCATACAAAGAGAGTAAAGGTCCGTTAAAACCGGGGTCTCAAGTTTCCCGAAGTTGTCTCATCCTTCCTACCTTTGGTTGGGTTACAAGGTCCAACCAAGCTTCCTACCTTTGGTTTTGGCACAAAGTCCAACCAACCTTCCTACCTTTGAAACCTGTGGACCCTGGGTTTTAACTGGCCGATAGATGCGGAGAGGGTCGCGGGGAATTTGCCGCCGCGTTCGCGCGCAGTGCGGTTGCAAAGGCGAGGCGTGGGTGGGCGGCTGACGGTGCTCGTGAGGTTTAGCCTAACGACAGCGCCGTTTTCGGCGCATGTTACGCCGGGCCACGTGCACGCGTTGGGCTTGTTCGCCGGGATGGGCAGCAGCGCCGCCGAGAAAATCGCCTTAAGAGCCGCCGTGTCAGCCGCCGAAGCCTGCGGCGAGGCTGCGGATACGCGCAACTCTAAACTCGGGGACAGGCTGTGAGGGGAGCTGGTTCCGCCGCAGGTTCCGCCGCTGGTTCCACCGCCCGCCGACGCCGCTTCCGCGCGCTCCGTGGCAGACGCTTCTGCTGCGGGTGATACTTTCTTCGCAAATGTTTTCTCCGCCCTCCGCACGGCGGAAAGTTGCGCCGCAGGAGGCAGATCCGTCCGACGTCCGCGGCGACCAGGAGGCAGTTTCGATATAAACTGACTCGATATGGGACCAAAAGACGTAGATGGTAAGCAGTAGAGGAGTAGCAGGAAGATGCATGCTGTAGCACTAGCGTGAGCGCGCAGCGCGTCGTGAAATAAAGTGATCGAGCGCGCGACTTGAGGGTATTCTGCGCCCGCCATCATGTCTGAACGACGCGTGATTCCGACTCGGACTCAAGCCGCAATACTTTTGACTTCCCAAAATCCCTTCCGTTAGAAACCTAATACGCGTTTTCACCGAAAAAGGGAACGACTTGGACGGCTGATTTTCCAAGATAATACATGGAAATTCTGCTGGTCTGCCAACATAACTTATACTGAACCAATGCCTAATCGATGTGTGCGACCAACTGTACATCACTACGTACTAGTGACGACAAACGTATCGTTCAGACTGACGCGTGCTAACTTCATGTGGGCCTGCCACTTTCATTATGGGGTTGCTACGGGTTCTGCTGGGTCGAGTTGGTTTGGGTTGGGTTTAGTGAGTCGCTAACACCCACAAGCAATAATTGTGACATTTGCTGGATATTAGGGAAATGCGAGGGTTGATGTGATGGTGGGAAGGATTGGGTTGGGACTCGCAATTATGCATGGGAACCGCAACTGACGGAGTCAGAACGGTCAAGTACGGTATATTAACGCTATAGTCAGATACCGCACGATGATTGAGCCGCTGTCAGGGTGATACAGGTTTTTCTTGCCGCGTTCGGCGGCCGCATCAGAGCCTGATGCGCCCTAGGCTCGGCAAATTGACAAATTGGAAATTTGAGGCTCGGTGATGTCCAAAATGAAATTAGGAAATGGAGGTTCGAAAAATGGACACGCAGGTTCGGGAAATCGGAAATTGGGGATGTCGAATTTCGGGCATGTCAAATTTCGACCCCAAAATTCCGACGAATTCCAGGGTGTTGAGCTTTCATCGAAGTGGGGAAGAACGCACCTGGCGCCTTCCCCACGTGCATGATGCGCTGTTCAATTGCCCCAATTCGAGCTGATGCGCGCATCATGCGTGTTTAGGGCGTTGCATCATGCGCGCATCAAGGATGCGTCAGATTGCTAGTACGCTGTATTTCCTGGAAAGCGGCGACATGCAAATTTGTGGTTGCCAAAAAGACCGTTCGGCAGGCATTCGGGCTTGGTCTGCCTCGGCAGCCAAGCGCTTATCACGAACCTTGATAGCCTTTCGGCTGGTTATCACGGAAGGCTCCTGGAACATCGAAAACAATGTGCAATGTACATCGGTGCGGGCTAATGCGGCCGCCGAACGCAGCCCTTATTTCCAAGAGAAATGCGGCAGCGCGTTCCCAATGTCCAATAGAAATGCGACGTTGCGGCTCACTGATCGAAGTTCCCAATGCCAAGCAACGAGTTGAGCCGTGTGTCGACGGCTAGGAACAGAGAGGCCAGCCAGTCAGGAGACAAAACGATTTGAGATATAGACCAATAATTGCTGGGGTATATTGCAGCGACGTACTTCTTCAATGCACGAAAGACAGGATCTCGAGATTAGCCAGCTCCACGACCCAAACAAGCCATCATGTGTTGTCCGGTTGTAAACATTTGCTACCAGCTTCACTTGAAGGAGAACCTCAACCAGGTGTTGACACTCACAAAAGCAGGGTTATCTCAATTTAAACAACCCGCGGAGAAAAATGGAGGAGTTCGAGCATTGATAATTGAGAGCTGATACGACACCGGAAGTTCGATTCGTGCGCCAATCACTGTCAAGTCAAGTTCAGTCATTTCAACAGCATCAACCAACTCATTATCGCGACAGAAGCATGTCTACTGGTAAGAACTGCCATATTTCTAACAAAGTTCACTAAAACACATGAAGTAAATAGGAGAGAATTACCCTCGGGTTCATGAGTTGAATGGTTGGCAGGGTTCCATTTTAACTGTATGGATTAATAAGAACGCATGACTGTGCCATCCCAGCAGCATGCATGTGGGCATGCTGGTTATGACCATTCCTGTCTGTTGAGCAGAGGAGACAGCAGCAGCGGCAGCGGCGGCGGCAGCAGCGGCATTCACGTCATGGCTGTGACATCCCAGCAGCATGCATGGTGGGCATGCTGGTTAAGCCCATTCCGGTCTGTCGAGCAGCAGCTAGCTCCTCCCGGAGCCTCTCGTTCTCTGCTCTCAGCTGTGCATTCTCCTGCTCCAGCTGCTCTATCCGCGTCGTTTGCTCCGAGTCCTTTCTGAAAGGGATAGAGCAAAGCAGGGGAGTGAAAGGCGGGTGGCCTTGAGTAGGGAAACAAAAACAGAACAGAACAAGACAAAAAGGGAAGACCAAAAACAGCATAGAAACGCAAGAAGACGTTGCCTTGACAGAGCAAACTGGAGAACGAACCCTGCGCTTGCGTTTTGGGACGTCTCAATGTTTTGAGCTGAGGGCGGATTCCTAGCTTTGGGACATCCGCCCTTTGAGTCATCCGAAATTGTGGGACCCAATCAAAAAACCCAATCATCAAGATTTGGGTTTTTGTATTGGGTCCCACAATTTCGGATGACTCGAAGGGCGGATGTCCCAAAGCTAGGAATCCGCTCTGAGAATATCCACATCAAACCACTACACAAAGCACCACATTGCACTGCATGACAACCCTCTCAGCTGCGCAGTACCGCACTAGACTCCACCTCACCTGTTCATGAAGCTTTGGAACGTCTTGAGGCTGCGGTTCTCCGTTTCAAGAGTCTCACACTTGCGTTTCAGGCTGGCCACATCTGGCGATCCCAACCCGGCACCTGCAGCACCCCCAGTGCGCCCCTTGGCCTCTGCCATTCTATGTGGAAAGGCAAGAAGAGGAGTACAAACACATACAAGGGATGGGTGTGCGGAGAAGAAGAGGTGGGTGGGGGTTGCGGTGTGGTGGTGATTGATTCCATGTGTGCGTGCTTGGCCCACTACAGGAAGTGTCGGAAGGAGAGTGGGTGAAGGAGGAGGAGGGAGTGAAGGAGGTGGAGGGAGGGAGGGACTTACTTGCGTTGCCGTTCCACTCTGTGTTGCCGAGACGAGTCTCCAAACGGGGAGTGGGGCACAGTGGGAGTGAGGCAGGCCGAGGGAGTGTGGGCGCCAGAGGGGGTGAGAGAGCCAATTCTAGCAAGGGACAGCCCGCCGTCACAGGGATAATGGTCCAATGGGCCAGACCCACCCCTCCGTGCCTGCTGTAGCTGCTGCTGCTGTGCCTGCTGCTGCTGCTGCTGCTGCTGTGCCACTGTGGGACTGTCAGAAGACATGGCACTGGCGCTTCTCTTTACCCCTGCTAATGCAGCAGCAGCCCCAGAAACACCAGCGGCAGCGGCTGCAGCACCAGAAGCACCAACGGCAGCGGCAGTGGCAGCAGCACCACCAGCAAAGCCGGACCCTCCATTCGAGTTCAGACTTGCCTCGAATCCGAGTCCGCCATTTAACAGCCGAGCCTCCCCCAAAGGAGACAGGCTGGCAGGAGTGACCAGGAGACTGGGGGAGGCGAGAGGGCTATCTGGGGAAGGTAGACCTGGTGCAGTGGGGGAAGGTGCACCTGGGGAGGCTAAAGCTGGGGTGGGGTGGAGGAACGAGGGGGGGTTGGAGGAGGGAACCTGGACCCTGAGTGATCGATTGTGCCATCTGTTTCTAGCGCCTAAGGGATGGGAGAGGGTGTTGTTTGATGTGGAATTTTGCTGTTGCTGCTGTTTCTTCTCGCTATGCTGCTGCCTTTGCACCTGCAATTCCTGCTCCTGCTGCCACTGCTGTTGCCGTTGCTGTTCTCGCACCTGCTGTGTTCCCACCACCTGATGCTGCTTCTGCTGCTCCTTCTCCATCTCAAAACTCGACCCTGCCGCCCCAAAGGTAGGAGTGCCGGGAGCCGATCCCAGCTCCTTTCCACCGCACCCAACCATTGTGGGAGTACCAGCAACCGAGCCTGACCCAGGCATACCATCCCCCCCTATCGTCGGAGTAGCGGGGGCGGAACCAGTAGCACCTGAACCAGTAGCTCCTGCACCAAATAAGCCTGTTCCCATGTTCGTTGGAGTGCTGGGGCGGGATGCTGATGGGCATCTGGTTACAGGGTGAGAGGCCACAGTGCCTTCGGAGGTGCACGGACCTGATGCCGGACCTGATGCCGGACCTGATGCCGAGCCTCCAGGGGACTGCAGACCTGCCGTAACTTCCGGAGCACCCGAAGCAGCCGTGCCAGTGGCACCAGAAGCAGCAGCAGCAGCAGTAGGAAGGGCAACAGCTAGAGCAGCACTATTGCTACGACCAGCCGCAGCAGGAGAAAGAGCATTATCACGCGCAGCAGGAAAACAGCTATACCCTGGTGCACCCCCGCCACTGAAGGACCGACCAAGGGCAGGTAGCCTGGCATCAGCAGCAAGAGCAGCACTATTACTGCGACCAGCATCAGAAGGAGAAGCAGCACCACCCCCACTAAAGGACCGACCAAGGGCAGGTAACCTGGCATCAGCAGCAGCGGCAGCTGCAGCAACAGCAGCTGCAGCAGCAGCAGCAACACCGGGAGGAGGGTTGGAGTGGGAGGCGCGGTGGGAGTGGGTGGTGTGCGGTTGGTGGGGATCGGGATGGTGGAAGGGAGCATCAGAATGGGAGGGAGTCGGGGTGGGGGAGGCTGAGGAGGGGGAGAGAGGGGTGGAACGGGGAGTGGTGCTGCTGGTGGGGCTCTGTGCTGATTTCTTCCCCATGCTGCCTCGCTTGCGAGCTAAGGTGCTGTGGTGGGGAAGGGGAAGCAACAAGGATGGGAGGAGAAGGATTTTTGTGCGGACTCAAACGAGGGGGAGAGAGGCGTGGAACGGGGAGGGAGTGGTGCTGCTGGTGGGGCTCTCAGTCAGCTGCTTTCTTTTCTTCCCCATGCCGCCTCGCTTGCGAGCTAAGGCGCTGTGAAAGGGAGGCCAAGGGGAACGGGAAAGGGGGTAGGGTGGTGGTGAACGAAGGGGAATGGGTAAGGATGCAGGGAGGAGAGAATAGCAAGCAGGAGGGAAACAAACACTGAGTGCAGGGGGTAGAGAGAATGGGATAGAGACGCACCCTTTAAGCAAGCTGACAACTGATGAGACGTTTCTTCCTCCAGGCGCCATAGCAGCCATTACGCTCCCTTGCACATTCCCATGAACACTGCTGGGCGCATTGCCACTCGCAACCGAACCTGAATTAATAATGGGAGGCCCGGCCGCACCTACACTGGCAACAGGGTGAGAACCTTCTGAGCCTGAAGCTGGGTAAGCAGCGGGTTTTGCCGATCCTGAGGTTGGGAAGGCGGATGGGCTTGCCAGGGCTGATGTGGAGGGTTGGGAAGGGGTATTTGCCTGAGAATGGTAAAGTTCCTGCTCATACCCCTGTTGCCCCTGCTGCCCCTGCCCCTGCTGCTGCTGCTTCTGGAATTCGTGTTGTCCCTCAGGTGTTGCTGCTGATTGCTCTTGAGCTAGGACTGGTGACCCTTCATGTTGCTGCCTCACCTGCGGCAGTGCTTGCCGCTGTTGCTCCTTCTGTTGCTGTTGCTGAGGTTGTCCCTGCTGCTGTTGCTGCGGTTGCCCCTGCTGTTGTTGCTGAGGTTGTCCCTGCTGCTGTTGCTGTGGTTGCCCCTGCTGCTGCGCCTGCCCCTGCTGTCCCTGCTGCCCCTGCTGTTGCTGCTGCACCTGTCCCTGCTGCCCCTGCTGCTGTTGCTGCGCCTGCTGCTGCGCACTCTGATTCTTCCTATTCTTAGCCCCCAGTTTGTGCTGCAGTCGATGCACCAACGCTGATGCACTACTCTTCTTCTGCTGCCCCTGCTGCTCCCCCTGCTGCTGCTGCTGCCCCTGCTGCCCCAGCCGCTCCCCTTCCTGCTGGTCTCCTACCGCAGGGTTCAACCCTGCTTGCTGATTAACAGGCCCACCCCGAGCCATCTGCCTTGTTCTCACTCCACTATACACCATCCCTCCTGCCCCCGCTCCTCTCCCCCCACCCGCTGCGCCAGTCCCCCTGCCTCCAGGGGAAGGGGGAACGGGAGGCTTAGGGGGAGTCCCCCCGAGCCTACCTGCTGCTGATGCCAGTCCAAAACTCGCACCAGATGCACCAGGAGTAGCGACAGGAGCAGCAAACCCATTACCACCACCACCAGCAGCACCAGCAGCGCCAGCAGCACCAGCAGCAGCACCAGAAGCAGGAGAAGCACCAGCAGCACCAGCGGCAGGAGGAATTGGTATCTGGAGGTTTCCCAGAATGGCAGCAGCGAGGGCAGCGGCGGAGGAGGAGAGGGCAGCGAGGTCCACGTGGCCCAGCGGCCCCTGCAGGGCGGCTATGGTGGCCTGCAGGTCCGAGGGGGACGCCAGTCGCTGCAGCAGCTCGTCTGTAGACAGCGGCACGCCCTGGGCGTTCACCAGCCGCCTGTGATGGGGTTGGGGGAGGAAGGGGTTGGGGTTTAAGGTAAGAGGGTTAGAGGTGCTAGTTAGTGCCTCACTGAAAGCGGCAGCAGCAGCAGCGAGGGCAGCAGCGGCGGAGGAGGAGAGGGCAGCGAGGTCCACGTGGCCCAGCGGCCCCTGCAGGGCGGCTATGGTGGCCTGCAGGTCCGAGGGGGACGCCAGTCGCTGCAGCAGCTCGTCTGTAGACAGCGGCACGCCCTGGGCGTTCACTAGGCGCCTGTGATGGGGGTGGGGGAGGAAGGGGTTGGGGTTTAAGGTAAGAGGGTTAAGGGTGCTAGTTAGTGCCTCACTGAAAGCGGCAGCAGCAGCAGCGAGGGCAGCAGCAGCGGAGGAGGAGAGGGCAGTGAGGTCGACGTGGCCCAGCGGCCCCTGCAGGGCGGCTATGGTGGCCTGCAGGTCCGAGGGGGACGCCAGTCGCTGCAGCAGCTCGTCTGTAGACAGCGGCACGCCCTGGGCGTTCACCAGCCGCCTGTGATGGGGGTGGGAGGAAGAGGGATCGAGGTTTAAGGTCAGAGGGGCAGGGGCGAAGGGGAATCAGAAGTGGGATGTGTGTTGGGGTTAAGAGGGCCGGGGATAAGAGTCGGTCTGAATAGCTCGAGAGTGACCTTTGCAGGTACAATGGTGGCCTCTACAGATGAGAACGGAACACCAATTGCTTCAAGATTGGTTGGAGGTTTACGGCTCGGGGTTTTACAATCGGAGTTTAAAGTGGTGAATGGTTAGGGGCAGCAAGTCCCTGGCAACAATTCATACCTGGCACTTAACAAAGTCTTGGAACCTACTCGAGTCCCAGCACTTACTGAATCTCTTGCGACTTGCTCCGTGTGATGGGTGTCTTGAGCCGCAACAGCCCCTGCAGGCAAATAGAGACAGAAAGTGAGAAACGCACAGATTGTGCACAGATTCTCGCAGCAGAAGGGATGCTAAAGAGAAAGTGCAATTCGCAGTGCAGAGGAGTGCAGTGCAGTGCAGTGGAGTGGAGTGTGGTGCAACACACTCTTGAGTGCAACACACTCTTGAACGCGCAAGAATGCGATGGGTGCAACATCCACAAGAGGGCTTGCTTGGAATCGAGTACAAATCTCTTGCAGCAGGTAGGTAGATCATACAGGATAATTGGGTGACTTCTGCTGTTGTTGCTGCTGCTGCTGGTGGCGCTGCTGTTGCTGCTGCGGCTGTTGCTGCTGCTGCTGTGGCGTACCCATTCTGCAGTTACACATCAACAAAAAGTGCAGCAGGGTGGGTGCATGGAATGAGTGTTTTCGTGAGTTTCCACCACCACCCTAAGATTTTTATGAAGCACATACCTAGTCCCATTCTGTGGTGGGTGAGATACAGCAGAAAGCACACAGGACAGGCACATGAAGAAAAAAGGCAAGTGCTGCTTGTGCACGTGCGTGAGAGAAGAAGGAGGAGGGAAGGGAGGGGATGCGCGGGGGAAGGAGGTGGGGGAGTGTGGGGAAGGGCGAGGGGGATTTGCAGCCAGGAGAGGGCAAACAGGGCCTGGATAGAAAGCAACGGAGGGAGGGACGGAGGGAGAGTAGAAAAACGACCATTGATCCGTGAAGAGCGTTCAATAAAGTCAAAGTCATAGCACCTGCGCTGTTGAGTAGGTGTTCCTTGCTGTTGAGGAGGCCTCATCTGCTGCTGGGGAGGTGAGAACTGCATCGATTGCTGCCATTGCTGCTGCTGCTGTTGCTGCGGCGGCTGCTGTTGTGGCTGTTGTGGCTGATGTGACTGTTGTTGTTGCTGCTGCTGCTGCTGCGGCGGCGGCTGTTGTGACTGTTGTGACTGTTGTGGCTGCTGTTGTTGTTGTTGCTGCTGCTGCGACCCTAACCCTACCCCCCCCGCCACGTCAGACCCACCCACTGATGGCATGGCAAATTGAAACGACTCATTGGCGTCATTGACTGGACCAACATTCCCTTGCCCCTGACCCTGGTATTGCTGCTGTCCCAGCTGCTGCTGCCCCTGCTGCCCTTGACCCTGTCCCTGCTGCTGCTGCTGCTGCCCCTGCTGTCCCTGCTGCCCCTGGCTCTGCTGCTGCTGTTCTGGCAGCAGCCGTTGCTGCAACTGCTGCCGAGAGGTGGGGCGGGGGAGATTCACTGGAGGAAAAGGACGAGGCGGCAGAGCTTGTACCGGGGAGTTGCCTATCTGTGGCACGCAGGCACAATCAAAAGACATACACACACTTGAAGAGCTGTCGGCCTCCATAAAAACCTATTAAGAACTTACACTTTCTGAAGTCGAAGAAGATGAAGAAAAGAAAGGTTCTTTCTGGGACTAGTAGTTTCTTGCAGCAACTTACATCAGCGGATAGCCAGCTCTGGAACAGCTCCTCGCTGTTGAGGCGGCTGAGCTTTGGTGAAGGATACACCGCTGCAGCTGACAAGCCTGCTCTTCCTCCCATACCTGCTCCTCCTGCCGAGCCTGCTCCTCCTGTCGAGCCTGCTCCTCCTGCCGTGCCTACTCCTCGTCCTGCTGCTGCTCCCCATACGTTTAAGGTCGGAAAGGGCAGGGGC